TACGCAGCGTGCGATGCGTGAGCAGTAATTTTTTGTATGTCCAAGATTTTGACATCTTGTACACTGCGGAACTTCTCTTCTATGGCGCATAGCTTCTATAGTAACTTTTGTTCTGAAGAGGTATTCGATGGAGTAAAAATCTTTATTATTATTGCTCAAGTTCCACTACAAAAATATTATGTGGAGCTTTTGTAACTCTGTGTTTCATTGTGTAGATGCGTACGACCTTGTGACCGAGTGTAATAATTTCTTCTGTAAGTGTTTTGATGTCAGTGCTATGGTGCAAATTTTTTACCACTACTTTAAATGTTCGCTTACACTTCGCTTGATAGGAGTGTAATTGTGTGCCCTTTTCATGTAGCAACTTTAAAACTATATTGTAGACGAGAGCATCTTTGGTATTAATCTTGACTTGATCGTTTCCTACTATTTTGTATGAGTACTGACCTTTTACGTGAGTCTGATAATAAAGGTTTAATGTCGTTTACGCCATGTACAAAGATAGGTGGTGTGTTTGTTGTTTGTTTGTCGGCATCATTTTGAGCTGATGTGCTTGCTAAAACATCAAGGTAGTTGCTAGTGGGAGTTGGGTTCAGCCAGTATTCCTTTAAAGTATGTTGTTCCACTGAGGTACTTGGATTTTCTGACTGTGAGCGTTTTTTATTTTGAACGGTTGTCCAGCCCTGGTTAAGGTCACTAGTATCAATTGATGATTCACTGTTGACATCGTCCATAGCGGCAACTTCCATAACATTCTGACTTGGTTCTAAATTACTATGTTCCATTGTTATATTTTGGCTAATTTCACTAGGAATAGTCAGTTTAAGTTGTTTATTTTCAATTTTATTGATAGTACCAGATTTTAACATTTCTGGAATGATGTCCGTATTTTTTTATATTTTTTTCGGCATTTTTGCTAATGCTAGGTTTGATTTTATGTTTGATTTTTGTGTTTCCTAATGACTTTTTTTCACTTATAATTTCGTTGACCGAATAATCTGCATTGTGTGTGTTATATAATGTTTGTATTGCGCTCGATACGCAAGCACCGATATCGCCGGGTCGGGTTCCGATAATCTGGGAATTATTTACCTGCCCGTGGGCAGCGTCATTCATGTCGTTAACACTTTTAATTTCACTTAAATTAAACTCAATTGAGTTAATTTTTTATAGATAGAAAATTAAATTCACTTGCGTGTACCCACAAGGCGCACATGGCGGTTTTAGATATCTACACTGTGCCGGTATAATATGTTTATTATTATTTGACTACAGGTAGACTGGCTTGTTGTAACGTTACTGATAACACTCTGCGATGTGTACAGTTCAACTGTCGGTAATCAAATGCCTTCTAGATAGAAACACACCGTAATATATTTTACATATACTCTTGAAATAAATTGTAATGAGTTTACTTAAAATATCCCTATGTTTTGAAGGTTTCGGGTATCGCATGCAGGAATGACATGGGCAGCCAAAGCAATTCACTTATTATTACATAAGCTTTATTCGATTTGTATTGTTCTAATATAAATATAAATTTCATTGTAGCTTCCTTGGACCCTAGAAGACACAAGGAATGTTTGAGCCATCTTGTAGCAAGAAAGTCGAAACTAAAGAAGGAAAACCGTCCCTGAAAGGTGTGTTATTTAAAATTTTTTATCCTACAATATATGTTCGTAGCAAATGATTCTTGGACAAAATTATTCATTCTTACACTTTAAAAACTACGCACTTCGTGCGTGCTGTTAGCACAAAGCGTCAGCGTCCTATTTGTTGGTAACGTGTATGTCAATCGCAATATTCGCGTTTGACATAACCTGTCGCAACTTGTACATAGAACTAATAAGATACACTCTCTTACATTATATACCTATCTATTGAATATATAATATTAACAAGACATCCAGTGTTTTGATTTACCATAATTTGGTCTTTCTCACGGATATTCACCAGTGCAAGTATTATTTTTGAGATTTTTATACACTGTGGTGAGAAAAGTTTTTATATATCTAGTATTTTACCGGCGTGTTTTGTTTGGTTACGCATGCGGCATTAGAAGTGATCTAAGCCGTTCGTAAACAACATGGAAAGCATAATAATTTTATCGACACTGGCAAGCAGTTCAGGCGTTGAAATCGTGGCATTTAGAAGATCTGGGGGTCCGGACTTTGAGGTTAGGCTTCACGTCGCTCTCCAAGGGAGATACTTGTAGTGACCACGCTGTTCAGATCGACGAGTTCGTGAAAATTGGCAAATCTCCACACTATTTGGGAAGGATATCAAGGCTAAAATCACACGTGAAGACTGGATCAAGATTATTATTGACTCGTGTAATACATACACGAGGGCGTGAGTCATTAATTAAACTTATTGTTCACTTATAATATATAAAAGTGAAAAACTGTTGCTGTATTGCTGACTGGTTGTGCTAACACAGGAGTCGCAGATCACTCATCAGTCACCTAGTTAGATCATATTAAGTCATTTTAGTTTCTGTTTAATCTTACCATAAGGCATACATTAATTATAGTAAACTAAGGTATTTTGTCACGGTTTGTGATTATAATATTTGCAATATTTTTGTAGTTAAATAATAATTGTGCATGATGGCCGATGTGGAATCACTAGAAGGTACTTACAAAATGATTAAAGCGTCATTTGATGCAATTCACAAATTCATAGCAGAATTCCGTGAGGGTGATAATATTAAGGCACTTTCAGTTCGAAAGCAGAAACTTGTGGAACGATGCCATAGTTGGGATGAGACATATGTACAGCTTCATAGCATTTCCCCAGGTGTGTACACTACAGAATATTTAAAGTACTCTGATTTATATTTCGATATGAGGACGGATATTGAAACTATTATTGCCCGCCATCAAAAACCGGCTATAAAATCATCTAACACTTCGATAGATGTAAAATTGCCAGACATTGTGTTGCCTAAATTCAATGGGGAATATAGTGAAGGGACAGCATTCATTGACATTTTTAATTCGCTGATCCACGACAATTCAAAGCTTTCGCCTGTACAGAAGTTGCACTATTTGAAAGGTGCTCTCACTTCGTCGGCATTTGAACTAATTTCTACAATAAGTATCACGAACCTAAACTATGAAATAGCTTATAATTTAGTTGTGAAAACTTTCAGTAATTAATTCTTGATCATCAATACTCATTTGCAGAGCATTGAAAATATTCGAAGTATTCATAAAGGCTCCTTTGAAAATTTGAGAGCCCTTTTAAATGGTGCAAGGCAACAGGTGCAATCTTTAAAAGCTTTCTTTGAACCCGCAGAGCATTGGGACATTGTCTTGCTGCATATGTTGAGCAGAAAGCTTGACAGTAGTACGAAGGTGGCTTGGAATCTGTCTCGAGCATAAGGGCAGTTACCTACATTGGTTGAGTTCTATACATTTCTTGAACTTAGGGTAACTGCTCTTGAGCATTCGTGTAGTTCAGACAGCAAACCAACCACCACAAAGTCAGTTCACACAATTGTCAAGAAACCTGTCATTGCAAGGAAGATGACCATATGCTCTATCAGTGCTCTTCCTTTAAGGCACTTGATATTAAGGCACGCAAAGCCTTTATTAATAAACTGTCTATCTGTTTGCGTTGTTTGGCTTCTCGACATAATGTAGCTAAATGCAACTTCAGATATACGTGTACAAAATGCAAAGAAGCACACAATGCGTTGTTGCATGAGGAACCTGAGCCTAAGCCCAGCACTTCTAGTAGCACAGTATGTATGGCCAATACAGGAATGCAGACTTTATTCTCAACGGTTTCTCTTGTTGTTATTGACTCGGATGGAACCCAACATAAGGTACGGACTTTGCTTGATAGTGACTCGCAAATTAATTTGATAACAACTTCTTTACTTGCTAAGTTAAAATGTCCGGTCAGCTCGTCATTTCCTAAGTTAAGCCTGTTACAGGGGCAGAGTGTGCTTTGTGATAAGTCTGTCAAGCTGACTATAAAGTCAAGGGTAGGAGTCTTTGCGCACACTAACAATTGTGTGGCTGTAGACAGAATTACACAATTGTTACCAGTTACGCAATTGATTCCAGACCATGTTTCGCTGGCAGATCCCATGTTTAACGTTCCAGGTGTGGTTGACATGCTGATTGGAGTGGAACTATATTTTGAAGTTTTACAGCAGGGGTGCATTCGCTTAGGAAATCATCTTCCCATTCTTAGGAAAAGTTGCTTCGGGAGGCTGATTTCTGGTGTATACACATCAGAAATGCAGAGTCGTGCACATGTTGGCTTCATTTCCAATGAAGATCTTTATAATAGTCTGACAAAGTTCTGGCAGTTAGAGGTGGCACAAAGTTCACAAAGCATGTGAGGATTATTTCATTGCAAATGTAGCTAGACTTGAGAATGGGCAGTCTGAGGTGGCTTTGCTATTTTTAGATAACCATATAGATAAGCTTGGGTCGTCATTCGCAATTGCTAAATATAGATTTTTGAACCTGGAGAGGCGGTTTGCCAGGGATAGTGCCTTGTTCACAGCCTACTCCAATTTTATCAAAGCTTACATCGACTTAGGTCATGCTGAGGAGATGATGCTGACACTGGAGAAACCTGCTAAGAATAAGCACTATTTTTTGCCGCATCATCCAGTGGTCAAAGATAATAATTTTGACAAAATTAGGGTAGTGTTTGACGCATCGGTCAAGTCAACTTCAGGCATATCTTTAAATAATATTCTGCACACAGGACCGAAGCTGCAACAGGATTTACTTTCTATTTTAGTTTGCTTTAGGTGTCATCAATTTGTTTTTGTGGCAGATATTATAAAAATGTATCGGCAAATAATAGTCAGGGTGGTTGCATATTGCTTTCGGTGGTTCAAAATATTTCGCTCTCGATAACCAGATGAACAACCGGTATCAGATATCTTGTCTGTTGACGATTTAAGGGTCCCCTCCAGACATATTTTTTACCTAGCCCAAAGGAAAGTTTTTGGTAACATTGCTGATCAGTTGATGTCCGGTGAGTTGTCCAGTACATCTTTAGGAAAGCTGAAGGCGTTAAATACCTTTGTGGACGCCGAAGGCTTACTAAGAGTAGGTGGTCGACTAGATAATGCGGACATTAGTTATGACCAAAAACATTCAATTATTTTACCAAAGGCCAATTTGGCCATTGACATTTTCATTCGATCAGAGCATGAACGTTTGCTACATGCTGGCACCCAGACAACTTTAGCAAATATCAGATTAAAATACTGGCCTATAGATGGTCGCAATACTGTCAAGTGCATAATCCACAAATGTGTAAAGTGTGCTCGGTTTAGAGCTACTTGTGCAGAGCAGCTAATTGGAAGTTTGCCAAAAGACCGAGTCACTGCTTACAGGCCATTTCAGATTGAAGGAGTGGATTTTGCAGGGCCAGTGTTATTGCGAGCTAGTCGATTGAGGCAGGCACCTTGCATTAAGGCCAATATATGCCTGTTTGTTTGTATGGCCACTAAGGCCATTCATATTGAGTTAGTGTCTGGATTGTCAACAGACGCCTTTTTATCGGCCTTACGTCGTTTTATAGCAAGACGTGGGTGCTGTTCAGTCATCCACAGCGACAACGGGAGAAACATTGTAGGCGCAAAGTCTGAATTGCGGCAATTAGCTACATTATTTCAGTCTGATAAGTCAAAAGGGGAATTAATCACTGCGTCATCAAATTTAGGTATTACATGGAAATTCACGCCTTCCCATGCTCCTCATTTTGGAGGATTATGGAAAGGATCTATCAAAGTGATGAAACATCAAATTAGAAGAATTATCGGGTCTCATTGCCTCACATTTGAGGAATATACAACGCTTCTATACCAAATCGAAGTTGTACTGAATTCTCGACCTATCTCGCCCTTACGGATGACAGCACCGATATAGCTTACATCAGTCAGGGGCACTTCATTATTAGAAGTGCATTAACAGCCTTTCCAGAACCTTTTAGTGACGTATCCAAAGTTAAGGCAATTAAATTATTTCAGCAGATATCAGCTATGCCTGACCAAATTTGGTCACTTCGGTCAAAACAATACCTTAATGACTTGCAAAAAAGAAATAAATGGACACAGGGCCAACCAAATATTAATTTAAATACAATAGTGTTGTTGAAGAAGGACAATTTGCCTCCATTACATTGGTTCGTTAGGCGTTTAATAGACACCACTCCAGGTCAAGATGGCAAGGTTAGAGTAGTGACAGTCAAAACTAGTAGTGGGACATATACTCGTCCAATTACAAAAATTGGTATACTATCCTGTCAATAGATTGTAAGTCACTATCTGCATTTGTTCTTTTTTACTGGTTTGTTTACATATTCCTTTTATAATTCAGGCTACGATAGATTAATAGTAATAAATTAATCAATAAATGAATATTAGCTAGATTAGGAAAAATATTAGTTGTTAGTTCAATCGCTATTTAGGATACTATGTTTTTTTTTATTATTAAGATTTAATTATGTTTAGCATTATGTTTGCTGATTGCATATATATTAATTTTGATTTTATATTTTATATTATACAGTCCACTGTTGATGTACTCATTTTGATTACACACTATCATTAGTCTTCTTGTTATGCACATTATTATATTGTTGTTATAGCATGACTATGTATTATATTTATTATTGTTATATTATTCTCATTTTAATTTGATATTATTCGTTAGATTTGAGATAATTGATTATTGTAAGAATAATTCTGTTATTCCTTCATAATAATACGTGATGCTTGCATCGCGGGGGAGCATGGACAAAATTATTCATTCTTACACTTTAAAAACCGCGCGCTTCGTGCGTACTGTTAGCACAAAGCGTCAGCGTCCTATATGTTGGTAACGTGTATGACATAACCTGTCGCAACTTGTACATAGAACTAATAAGATACACTCTCTTACATTATATTCCGCGGAAGAGTAAACATCTATTGAATATATAATATTAACAAGCCATCCAGTGTTTTAATTTGCCAATTCTAGATAATTTTTTTCAACAGAAATTCGTAACTCAAGATATAAGCAGTACGTAGACCAGACATGCAAAGAACAAAATTTATACCGTATAACAAAAGTGTTGAGAAAGAAAGTAAGGAGAATAAATATAAAAAAAAAACAATGAGGCAGAAGTTACAAGAAAGTCTCAAATGTACTGAAAATTTTGCTCATTTCCCAGCAACATTAAATAAGAGGGCTCGTAATTTTATATTAAGTCAGTTGCATTTTACTTCTCTGATGGGGGTGTGAACAGCGTTAATTTATAATGTATTATTGTAGATGTCATAAGAAAACTACTGAGTATTAGTCTAAATGTTATTGCGACAGTTTGTGATCAGTTTGCTGCTAATGGCAAAGCTATAAATATGCTTCTTAGAGATACTGAGAAATTGTATGAAGCACAAAATCTTGAATGGAATAGACATATTTAAAATAGATGGCCATGAAATAGTTCATTTGCATGATCCTTCACATTTGCTAAAATGCATGAGAAATAACTTTATTAGGTATAATGTTAGATTTATGGATCAAAAAGGAGATGCATACGAAGCATGTTGGAAGGATATCAGAGATTATCATGACTTTGATAGCAATTTGGGCATGTTTTGCAAATACACTACTTTAACGGAACACCACCTTGATGAAACAAAAATGAAAAAAATGAAGGTTAGCTATGCAGCACAAGTATTTTCTAAACGAGTAGCGCTTGGATTTCAATATTTCATTGTACATGCTCACGAAGCCAATGTGTGTGCTACTTCGGTAGGTACAGGAAAATTTTTGATAGTGTTAATGGTTTATCTCAATTTTTAACAAATGGCAATATATTTCGTTGTGCCATTAACGATAATTCTGTACATATTAAATTCTGGAAAATTGCAAGGCAAGTGTTAGATTCAATGTACTTTATTAAAAGTAAAGATTCAGTTAGAACCATAATGAAAACTCCTACCATTAAGAATTGGATCAGAACCATAGATGACTTGGAACATATATGGAGAAAAATCCGGTTAATTAATGGCTTTAATTTTTTGTGTACGCGAAATTTCAATCAGGATCCGTTAGAAAACTTTTTTGGCAGCATAAGAATGCAAGGTGTATGTAATAAGAATCCAAATTCTTATTCTTTTATATCCTCCTTTAGGACACTGATTATAAATAATTTATCATCTCGTCATTCGCCTTCTTCTAATTGTGAAGTTGATGACAATTGTTGTTTACCTGCTGCTTATCGAGTTTTTCTTGATAGCGATCATGTTTCGAATAGAGAGGTTTTTTATGAAGAAGTTGATGAAGAGCCTTTTTTCTTTCAAGACGTGACGCTTTACAGTAAAACTGCTAACGCATATGTTGCAGGGTACTGTATTAAGAAACTGATAAACAGTGTCCAGGATTGCCACATTTGTGCAATTGAGCTATTGGAAAATCCAATTGGCAAAGATGAAGCATCTTGGATTGAATATAAAGATTACACAGGAAATTCTCTGAAGGTTCCAGGGACAACATTTTTTGATTTATTTCGAAAATGTTGTCAAGTATTGGATCATTTCATACAGGCACTATGCACTGCAGACAATATTAAACTAAAACTATTAGAAACACTTGAAAAGTATGTTCTTCATGAATTAATTTTATATTAAGTCAACTAAGAGAACATACGAAAAAGCCAAAAGGAAGAAAATTTACGCTTAATGATAAAATTCTTGCTTTAACTCTGCTTAAAATTTCTCCAAGAGGTTATTACTTTTGGAGAAAAATATTTGTTTTGCCTGCTCCTCAAACATTGAGAAAGTTGCTCTCAGCAATTCCTTTGTATAGTGGTATTAATGAGACCCATTTCCATACATTGGGTTTAGCTATGGCATAAAAAAAATATGTGAATAGCAAAAACTGTATTCTGTTGTTTGATGAAATATCATTATCATCTGCATTATTTTGCGACTGCAAAAAGAATCATATTGTTGATTTTGAGGAAAGTTTATTTGATGATCATTCTCTTGTCTTTTAAGCTAACGTCATAAAACATCGATGAATGCAACCTGTTGCATTTTGCTTTTCTTAAGGGGGTGTGAATAGCGTTAATTTAAAATGCATTATTGTAGATGTCATAAGAAAACTACCGAGTATTGGTCTAAATGTTATTGCAACAGTTTGTGATCAGCTTGCTGCTAATTGCAAAGCTATAAATATGCTTCTTAGAGATACTGAAGGACTGTATAAAACACAAAAATTCGAATAAAATAGAGTTATATTTGAAATGGCCATGAAAGAGTTCCTTTGTATGATCCTCCACATTTGCTAAAATGCATGAGAAATAACTTTATTAGTTATAACGTTAGATTTATAGATCAGAAAGGAGATGCATACAAAGCATATTGGAAGGATATCAGAGATTATATGATTTTGATAGCAATTTGGGCATGATTCGCCAATGCACTACATTTATGGAACACCAGCCGCACAAGTATTTTCTAAACGTGCACCGCTTAGACTTCAATTGTGCATGCCCCCCATTCTATTTAAAAAAATATATTATGACTTCACCTTTCAATGATGCTCGAAACGAAGATATTAAATTGTGCATCTTATACTGAAATATGCAGTATTTATCAAAACTGTTTTTGTTAGTCTCAACTGAACATATCTAATTTTTATTTCCATTACAGACATGGTATGGACTCGGATCGCGTCACTAACGGTTTCATGATCTCCGTCATATATTTTTAGGTCATATTTTAGGTTAAGTCAGTGGTTCCCAAAGTGGGCGCCGCGGTCCAGGGGGTCGGTAATGGGCTTTGGAGCCTTTAGGGGGGCGATGCTTAGTTGTAGGGAGCGCTTTCAGCACAAAAGTAAAAAAAAATATTATTAATATTATATATAAATAAATGATTAACATTAACATTGAAATATATAAAGATAATATTTTAATTAAAATTATCCAAACATATATGATATAATCAATTTTATAATACATTAATTAACAATATTACAAATCCCATTTTAGTAAAAAAAAAAAAAATTTAATTTCTTTAGATGCCGACTTTGGCACTGTCGGCCTTGAATCATAATTTAATGCTGACTTAAATCAAAATTGAAAATCCATTATTATTCTTACAATTAACACAATTAGGAAGTCAGTTAACGTTTAAGTACATGAGTTAACGGGTCGTATAATTAAAAATGGGCCAAAAATGGGCCACGAGCCATGATAGATTGAAAGGATCTGAAGCATATTCATAAATGCGAGTGATCGGTTTGTTGCATAAAAGCTTGTAAATCCGAATTTAATATTACGATTTCTATCCGTTTGTCTCGTTTCGCGAACAATGTTGCGAACATAAAAATGTATTAGGTAATTTACAATTACTTTACTGAGATTATTAAAAATGAACTTAAGTTTCCTCAGTACTTACTACTTTAAGACTAAATTGGCATAGTCCAATTGCTCAATCTGCCGCCAAACGAAAGTTATGATCTTTGTCAAAAGTTAAAAGTTTAAAAGTGTATGTGCAAGAAATGGTGCGCAAAGGGTCCTAGTAACTAAGGATAGAAGTGTCTTGATGCCGAGGGCATGTAAAATGTATGACACATCCATTATATGTTGAGGGGTTAAGAAGAATAGACAAACAATGCAATAATTTAAGGTATAAATTGCAACAGAGTATAAAATGGTCAGAAATATTCTTAACATTCCAGCCGAAAGGACTGCTGCACTGTTCTATTGACACAATCAAATCCTAAGAAATTCAAGATATTGTAGAATGAAACTTTATTAATGATTGATTGGAAAGCAAAATAACTATCAAATGCAAAGTTAATGTTAAAGAAGCATGACTCATAAATAAATTCTAATTCTTGGAATTTAGTTTTCTATCAATTTTGATATCAATATATATATATATATATATATATATATATATATATATATATATTATGTCTGTAGGATTTAACTTTTTAAATTTGTTCATTATTTGTCATTTCTTCTAATCATACTATTCCATTATCTTTAGTATATACTCTATATACTACATACTCAGACTCTATATTTTTTTCTTCTCTTTTTAATATATTAATATTAGTCATTAAGAAATTAATATTAGTCAGTTCGTGTAAATTCATTATACTTATGAAAATTTTTACAATATTTCTGTGTAGTTGCTATATATTATTGATCATTCAATAATTCATATCGATCGTTCCTTTTAAGTTTAACATTTTAATGTAAATGCTTTTACACAATCTCTGTCTAGTTGTTATATATTATTGATCATCAAGTAATTCATATTGATCGTTCCTTTTAAGTTTAATATTTTATTGTAAATGCTTTTACACAATCTCTGTCTAGTTGTTATATATTATTGATCATTAAGTAATTCATATTGATCGTTCCTTTTAAGTTTAACATTTTACTGTAAATGCTTCTACACAATCTCTGTCTAGTTGTTATATATTATTGATCATCAAGTAATTCATATTGATCGTTCCTTTTAAGTTTAACATTTTATTGTAAATGCTTCTACACAATCTTTATCTAGTTGTTATATGTCATAGATCATTCAGTAATTCACATTGATTGTTCCTTGTAAATTTATCATACCATTGTGAATACTTTTTTTTAGTTACTTATAATTGTAAAATTATAATACTTATTATTATGTATATATTGATTATTATATTTATAAAAATTTTAATTGTTATGTAAAAATGTTTGTGATATATTTGAAAATATATTTTGTACTTCGTATGTATTTTTTTCTCATTTCCAATATAAGAAATTATTTGGGTTTTCTTATTTTGAATTACGTATGCGAACCATATCTAGGAATAATACCAGCGGTTGATTTATATACTGAACAAGTGCTGCCTTCTTCAGGTCGCTAAAAATATGAAAATGGAGGTAATGTCAAATGGCCTCAGATAGCGATCTATTTATGTTTACTTATCTATGAGGCCAAGTATACCTGGAGCTTAAAGTTTCCAACGCAAGAATTGAGGTACGCTTTGAAGCCACTATTTTATTTAGAGGCGCCATCTTCCAAGGGGATAGAGAGTTCAAGTTTACCAATTAGTAGTTTAGGCTTGACTTTTGAATTTTATAGTTATTCTATTATAGTTTTTTCACAAACGTTTTTCTTTTATATTCTGTATATCATTTATATTTTATATATCATTTATATTTTATATATCTTTTATATTTTATCTATCATTTTTTTTCGTATTTAAATTGTAAAGGCTATCACATCACAATGGTAAATCAAAATATTTTAATTGAAAAGCGCAGATTAGCAAAATCCAAAATAACGCGAACACAAAATTTTATTTCAAAATGTACTTCCGAATTGAGTACTTCGGAACTAAACGCGCGTAAGCAGCTTCTCAACGACGCATTTAACAATTATAATGAAGCACAAGATGATTTGGAAATGATTAATTTAGATGAATTCGAGGGCGATCGCGACGAGATAGAAACGCAATATGTATTGCAAGATTTTGTCTACAATAGATAATTTATTGGCCGGTTGTAGACAAAGTAATGCATGCGCGCAGAATGTGTCTGAATCAGCTTCAGCTAAAGTTCAGCTTTCTCAAATTCATTTGCCGAATTTTGATGGAGAGTTTTCTAAATGGCCGGAATTTCGAGACATGTTTTCGAGTCTAATTATACAAAATAAATTATTAACAAATTCCCAAAAGTTACACTATTTAAAAAACTCATTGCAAAGAGACCGCCAATTTATTTAAAAATCTATCAATCACAGACGCGAATTTTCAAATAGCATGGGATACTTTAGTGGGTACCTATGATAATAAATTGATTTTAATTAACGCGCAACTGAAAGGAATGTAAGTAAATCAACCACAAAATAGAGATCACAAATCACTAAGAAATTTTTTATGCAAATCTAGACAGCACATATCCGCTATTAAAAACGAGAGACTCTCAGTAGAGCTCTCCGATCTTATATTTATATTTATATTAAAAGCAAAATTAGACATGGATACCCAAATGGCGTGGGGTGCATCTATATCAAAAAATAATCTACCGTCCTTAGACGAATTTTTTTCCTTTTTAGAAAAACGTTGCGCAACATATGATATGAATCGCGAGCAGAGATCATATATAAACACTCCGGTTCAGCAAAGTCATTTTGTTGCACACATTAAACAAAAATGTCCATTTTGCAATAAAGAGCACTACCTTAACCAATGCGAAGAATTTTTAAAACTTGAAATAGATGAGCGTGCCGAATTCGTTCGAAAGACGCAATTGTGTTTTAACTGGCTCAAGTCCTCACATGTAATTACTTATTGTCGTAGTAAACGCGATTGTTTCTTTTGCAAAAGACGTCACAATTTTGCAAAAGCACTATGACTATGATAGCAGAGGCGGAACAAAAACAAACTATTTTGCCTGTAGTACTAGTGCTTGTATAAAACGGTAGAACTACATCCACATCGCGCGCTCTACTAGACTCTGGTTCGCAGATAAACATTATTTCAAAGTCTCTGGCAAAAAATTTAAAATTAACTTATAAAAAAGCAAATAAAACGGTTGGCAGGGTAGGCGGTACAAACGCCAATGTTTTAGGTTCGGTAAGTCTACAAGTT